TTTGGTCCGTCTTATCATTAAATCTTTGGTTCGTCTTATCATTAGATCTTTGGTCCGTCTTATCATTAGATCTTTGGTCCGTCTTATCATTAGATTTTTGGTCCGTCTTATCATTGCATCTTTGGTCCGTCTTATCATTAGATCTTTGGTCCGTCTTATCATTGGATCTTTGGTCCGTCTTATCATTAGACATTTTGTCCGTCTTATCATTAGATCTCTGGTCCGTCTTATCATTAGATCTTTAATCTGTCTTATATTTAGATCTTTAATCCGTCTTATCATTAGATCTGTGGTCCGTCTTATCATTATATCTTTAATCCGTCTTATCATTAGACATTTTGTCCGTCTTATCATTAGATCTTTGATCCGTCTTATCATTAGACATTTTTTCCGTCTTATCATTAGATCTTTGGTCCGTCTTATCATTAGATCTTTAATCCGTCTTATATTTAGATCTTTAATCCGTCTTATCATTAGATCTTTGGTCCGTCTTATCATTAGATCTTTGATCCGTCTTATCATTAGATCTTTGGTCCGTCTTATCATTGGATCTTTGGTCCGTCTTATCATTAGATTTTTGGTCCGTCTTATCATTGGATCTTTGGTCCGTCTTATCATTAGACATTTAATCCGTCTTATCATTAGATCTTTAATCCGTCTTATCATTAGATCTTTGATCCGTCTTATCATTAGACATTTTGTCCGTCTTATCATTAGATATTTGGTCCGTCTTATCATTAGATCTTTAATCCGTCTTATATTTAGATCTTTAATCCGTCTTATCATTAGATCTTTGGTCCGTCTTATCATTATATCTTTGGTCCGTCTTATCATTAGACATTTTGTCCGTCTCATCATTAGACATTTTGTCCGTCTTATCATTAGATTTTTAATCCGTCTTATCATTAGACATTTTGTCCGTCTTATCATTAGACATTTTGTCTGTCTTATCATTAGATCTTTCGAGAATATAGTAGCTATTGTAGGGTTATGGCGGAGTTTGATTTGTCAATGACAAGACCAGTACCTCTGCTGACGATGTTTCATTTAATGGTTATGCAGTCACATCATGTTTAGCAGTGGCTTGCGGCACATATATGTAGTAAGGGAAGTAACTCCCACGGTATTATAGTTTTAAGGCGCCACCCAACGTATGCGAGTTGAGATCATGAAATGAGAATGTGTTTATTGGTACCGGCATTATACTACTACACTGAATTATAAATCTTATGTCGGAGTAAACCAGCTTGTGGAGTAATGCATTCTATGTACAATACTAGGTTTTCAAAGGAATTAGAGCTAAAACTACCAAGAATAATTGTTGCTTTCCTTAAAACCTACACGAATTTGTAAATCAATGTCTCTGGTTTAGTACTTTAATGTTACCCGAGTTGATTTCATTTTCCCGATATTTTGTGTCCTGAGTAGTGGACATCAGCCCTGCGACTTTTCCTGATGTAATTTTACATTACCAACTTTTTGCAAAAAAGCAAACAAAATCTATCAAATAGTAATTTAATATGCCAGTTTCAAATTTGGTGCCTCCTGCAACATTTTTAATTTCAAGAATACTTACAGCTATTACACTAAAACAATGTGTTATATGTACCACGCCTCGTAATCCCCGGTACCCCTTAAAGATAAGTCCAGCCTTCAGACACCCCATATAGCGTGTTCCAGCTGATCCCCTACCTACCTCTCTGCCCTGGAACCTAACTGCTTCATCTAACGACATCAGTGTAACGACATCAGTTGTGGTGAGCAAAACTGATGTCACAGACGATACCTGGAACACGGAAGGAGTCGCTGAGAGGGAAAACTGTCAATCAACTAATAAAAGCTGTATACTATTGTGATGATCATCATCCTGTCCAAGGGACTTTATTCTTCAGTTTTTCCGATTATTTTTTACAGATCACAATATTTTAACAACTCATATTTAAGATATAAATCTGACAACGAAATAAATTCAGTTTAACATTTAACCACGGACATGAATAGCTGGGGAATCCTTTTGCGTCATCTCGTTGCCCGAGATTTCATGTGATTTGAAACATTTTGACAAAATGCAGGATCACGGAAATACCGTGGTTCCTATTCCTTCCTTTGCTGTAGAACTGACGACATGTGAGTTCATCATACATTTAGTGTTTTACGTTAATCAAAAGTGTTCCTATAAGTTTAATCCAACTTTCATTAGCAAGGGAGGCTTAATTTAAATTGCTCGGCAATTTTGCAAGTGATAAATTCAGGTCACCGTCTAGCTAATAACATCAGTTGTGCTGGACCATATAAATAAAATTCCTTTTATCCTGCAACTGGCACTACTGTTGTCGGAATACATCTGCCACATATATTTTGCTGTATTCGGCAGTGACGGAAGACAGCTGTACTTTAACACGTGCGGTAATTCGACAGAATGACTCCCTGAATTTACTTAAATATTACGTTTAGAAGTATAATCATTTGTTAAAATAAGCGATGTCACATCTTGTACTGAACAAATTGATTTATGAAAATTCATAAAATCGCTGTCACCAGTATATCCGATGAAGTTTTGGAACTATGTTTTCGTGCGGAGCAATTACTTTGGCGTCCGTCATCAGACAAAATTCAGCGTAACGTCAACGTCAGGTAAACACAGATAGAACAACAAAACTGTTTAAGTTTCAACAGTCTGATTTCAATCAGTTTTGCAAGATATATACATGTACATGCAGTCACTTTTGTCTTTCTTCATCCTTGCCAAAATATAGCTTATATTTTCAGACACTGACTATGTATTCTCTATGAATCTACTGTTCTACGAGAAGTATTTCGCTCAATAAGCCTCTCTTGCATCGATCCATTGCATTTGATAATGCAGTTTTATTGATATGAAAATCGTCTAAAATCGACATTTCTCCTAAATGCTGGTCGACCAGGCCGATTGCGCGAGAGTTCACAAATTCACTATACATAAATAATTAGATATAGATATATATCATTTTGCGCAGACAGAAACTCTTTGATATTTAATCTTATGTTAAGATTTGGGACGATTTTTTCCCGTTACCGGATATTTAACCACCTTAAAATAGCCCTAAATCTGTCGTTGTAATAAGATGGTGGCCTCCCTTTTCTAAGTCCGCGGTTTAACTTGACAAGTTGGAGAAGAATTTCTTTTTGGTTCTTCATAATACTGATGCATGTATATACCTTATAATAGAAAAACTAGTTCTAAATATTCAACCCCATGGAAAGTGTGTGGTTCGTCTTTCTCTCCTTATTGTGATCATTAGAAGGATAATTACTTATTGGGGCGGCGACTTTGAAGTGCAATGTTTGCCCATTGTGTAAAACTGGCTCTGCGAAATTAACAATATTTCAATGTCAATGAAAATAACAAACAAGTTTTTAAAAAGTCAGTAGGCAATATGGGCGTCATTCAAAAAAATTATCGCGTCCTGAAGATTGCTAAATATCATTCAAATGATGAAGATATCGGCTTCAGTTGTATTTTTGAAACAGTCAAACAAATCATAGGTATCGACACTAATGCTAGCATGACGAAATAAATTGAAATAAGGTGTACAGAAAAAAACACATTGCTTGGATTGACATAAAAACAGAAGATGTGTGCCCTTTAGGGTGTCCAACTTCAAAAATTTCATCGTTTACTGGAAAATGGTGTTGTGAGTCCGGTAGATTCTATAGATAACCCTATAAATAAATAAAGCATTAAATACCACGTGTTTTAATGGCATTTTTCTGTTGAAGTCATGAACACATTATGTACAGTGTAACAATCTTGAGTAAAGGAACAGTTTGAAAACCTAGCTGCTTACTTTTGCATAACAAAACACGCAACAAACAGTCTTTCTCACAAGGTGTAATAATATCGGCAAAATTGTTTGACAGTCGAACGAAAAAAAAATAAATTTGTGAATAATTGATTTCAACCTGAAAATTATTCAATAGAGCTTGGTCTTTAATAAAATTTTGTGAGTAAGAACAATTCTAGAAAATCGGCCTTCACAGATTTTGTATTATGTATTTGGTTTAAGTATTCCATCGTACTTGTTTAAAGTGTTTTTGTAGTTAAAGTTCAGTCGGAATACAAATCTTAAACTGCATCCATTCTGAATTAGAATAAAATTGTACATATGTAGAATAAAAATTTAAGATACATGTATCAGTACAATAGCAATTTTACTGATTTCCATTGATGAAACTTCTTAGTAACTGTTCTTCTTAGAAATTAGGAGACGTTGCGATTTTTCAAATTATTATTCCCAAAATAAAAACACTGAAATTTATTAATTCCTGATAAAATAAACCGATCCCAATTTAATTTGGAGTCCAGGAGAAACAGGAGAGTATGTCTGAAGATGACCTTGGCATGACCTTGCCAGGAAGTCATAGAAAACGGTAACACATGAACTGTCTACAGAACACATGGCTAAACAGGATGGCAACGTAACATCCAACCGATAGAGGGCGACAGCTGTGTTAATGACACGATCATGCATATGTGCTATCCACATCCCGGAAAGTTCTGGAAAAAATAGACGGCATACGATCAAAGCTTGTACAAAATGGTAAATGGCACCTTTTCATAATTCAGTTTGATGCAGTAGTGTCAAACAAATAATTAACCTGCGTTAATCAGCTATTTCGTCAGTAACACTAAGGGCCTAAATTTTGAAGCCTATAAGGCGACTGAGGAAAATCCAACGTGACCGAAAGAAAAGTCGATATTCAGATGGGGAGGTGCAACAGCCACTTAAATCGTTCTTTTCATATATCAGAAATGTTTGAACAGCGTCAAGTACATGTGTATGAACAAACCTTGAACATAAGACGAACTAGTGGGAGAGGCAATACCAATACACAAAGCCGTACGTGTTCTTACTTATAATCATGATGTGCCTTATCTGGAAACATTGTAATATTCCAATCTTTGTTTAGAAAAAAGCAAATATTTAGAGAAATCTTCAAGTAAAGCTCATTAGTGAAGACTATGAAGTGGTCTTACCACGTGATGGCAGAACCGTAGAGATTTCTGTCGTAGTTGTAATATACTTTGTTGTCATTTCTGGTATGGTAGTTGTCGTTCCCTGTGTTGTAGTTTGAAGTGCTGTGGTTGCTGTTGCCTGAGTCGTAGTTGTCGTTTTTGGAGTTGTAGTTGTCGTTTCCGATGTCGTACTTGTCGTTTCCGGTGTTGTAGTTGTCGTTTCCAGCGTTGTTGTTGTCGTTTTCGGTATTGTTGTTGTCATTTCCGGTGTTGTAGATGTCGTTTCCAGCGTTGTTGTTGTCGTTTTCGGTATTGTTGTTGTCGTTTCCAGCGCTGTTGTTGTCGTTTTCGGTATTGTTGTTGTCGTTTCCGGTGTTGTAGTTGTCGTTTCCAGCGTTGTTGTTGTCGGTTCCTGTGTCATAGTTGTCGTTTCCAGCGTTGTTGTTGTCGTTTCCGGTGTTGTTTTTGTCGTTTCCAGCGTTGTAGTTGTCGTTTCCTGTGTCGTAGTTGTCGGTTCCAGCGTCGTAGTTGTCGTTTCCGGTGTTGTAGTTGTCGGTTCCTGTGTCGTAGTTGTCGTTTCCGGTGTTGTTGTTGTCGTTTCCGGTGTCGTAGTTGTCGTTTCCGGTGTTGATGTTGTCGTTTCCTGTGTCGTAGTTGTCGTTTCCGCTGTCAAGATTATTGAGTAACAGTATGTGATTTTACATTAGGACTCAAGATATCGTTATAAAAGAATAATGGTAGTTATGGATGTTTCGTTTCGCAATTGACTATTTTTAAGTCTAACCAGTAAAACATTTTAGGAGATGTTCATTAAGATATGGTTAGTGGTCCAACGACCATGTACCCTAACTATACTCACGCTCGCATTTCTTTACGTAATAATCATAGTTGTTTGAACCCTGTGTTGAAACAAGGCATGTGTGACGTAGACAGCGATTGGTTATTGAATTGTGAGATAATGCAATGCACGCGGTTTCCATCAGGCAATTGTCCCTGCAGACATTTAGGTCGACCACAAGCATCATTGAAGAATCGGTGGAACAAGTCCCTTTGACTAGATATTGAGGTGGGTCGTAATAACATCCGGCTGTGTAGAAAATGAAAAAATCGATGAAATTAAATTCATCATCAAAAATTTGTTTTATGTATACTCAGGTAGTAATCTGTGTTGTGAAAGTAACACGATTTGATTATGGAATAACGGTAACATAATTTGAAATAACACATCTTCTGTATAAAATCTTAAATAGAAACCCTTTATTTCTTATCGCAAATGGGTCTTCGTACACCAAAGGATCAAGATATGCAAACCTTGTAAAACGTACACTCACCAATACAAATATATATTTGTTCAACTGATTTTTGGATCAGTATAACATAATAAAAGTAATTCAGTATTCTATCAAAAAATCTGTTATAAAGATGACAAAATCGTAAGACGGTTTCGAATGATATTAAACAGCCGAGAGTCGATCTAGTCATTTCTTAATACTAGAACGGCTTCACATGCGCCATATTACACATCACGTTACCAATAACACGGAGACTTCGATTTCCAACTTGTGTGAAGATAATCATTGTTTCCTGTTGTCTTGGCTACCTTTGATTGTCCAGATCGACTTTCAGTCGAAATACAGTGAACAATGAAATACCAGTATTGAAAATGTACACAAATTGATCATAATCATAGAAAAGTGTAAAGATATGTTGTATGACCACATTGAAATCGTTTATAAATTAATTGATCTTTCCGTAATTTATTGCATAAACCAGCCTTGGCGACAGAGGATGAATCCGCTTTTAAACGAATTGGATATACGGATGACATGAAATTAATTGTCAATAAAGTTGACGCCATTTGTCCTGAAAGCTTTGCAATCATAAACGGCAAAAACGGTGTCCATAATCCGTCCCTCTTGTGTACTCTTGTGTATTACTCTCTTTAGTAAGTGACAAGAATCCAGCCGTATTATAATCTTGGCTAATACTAGGGTCCTTATCTGTCGTTTTAATTAATTAATTAATGCTTCCGTAAACATTTTACCATTTTTGACTTCTTCTGAAAAATCCCAAAACCTATTTTATTGTAATTTGGCATTACTCAAATATGGTAGAATCAAATACTCTTCGTGGATTGAAGGTTTTAGAGTGCTTCACCAAAATTGTAAATTTCATGACACCAGAGTCTCACATTTCCCACTAGGGAGGGGGTCACTTTTACAATATTTTACCATATAAGTCATTATTACATCATTAAAGCTATACAATAGCGAGATGAAACTTGTTTCCATTTGTACACTCTGGTGATCGGCTAGGCTACTTGGGCTCTCATGTTTTATCGACAATTAACAGAAACAATGATAAATGGTAAATATGTAGATTTCAATTTTGAGTGAATTAACTGTTACCAGGTTCATCGACACCAATATATGATCAGATGAGAGAGAGAGAGAGAGAGAGAGAGAGAGAGAGAGAGAGAGAGAGAGAGTGTGTGTGTGTGTGTGTGTGTGTGTGTGTGTGTGTGTTTGTGTTTGTGTGTGTGTGTGTGTGTGAGAGAGAGAGAGAGAGAGAGAGAGAGAGAGAGAGAGAGAGGGGGGTGAGAGAGAGAGAGTGAGAGAAAGGGAGAGAGATTATATGACGTCATAAAAATTACTTGAAAAACAGTATTTTGAAATTTAAAATATGTTGATTGATTTGATAAGATGATGTGCTTGACATGTAAAAAGATTTCAGAATTAATTTCATGAGACAGAACGTCATTGCCATACCCTGACAAGTCCAAATCACTCGGCCCAGGTAAATTCATAGAGATTACGTGTTGGAAAAGGGTATTTCTTGGAACAAAATAACGACGACATTTAAAGAAAAGTGATAAACATTTTCACAAATATGATCAAATGTAAAGCCAGGTGTATCAAAAACATTTATCCTAAATAAGTCATACTTTGGAGAGCTACAGTGGTGTTTAAGTTTGGTGTGAATACCTGGGTGAGAAGGAGGGGTGTTGAGATCATCTTTTTACGGGTATCAGTTAAGTAAGGCTGAAGGCTTGGTCGAGTCATCCAGGTTATTCCAAACAACGAAGTGTAGATGGCAAGAACGAAGTATTAGTGATAGGCAGTCGGAAAACGGCATTACTATTTCTCAAAGGCATACATGATCAATTGTTAATTTAAATTCAGTGAACTGCGAAAGTATACGTTGTAAATCAAGCAGGATATATAGATGATTGAAATCTGGATTTACCGACTTGAAAACGTATAAGAAATATAATCAAACGGTAGGAATATTGAAAAAGTAGATATCTTTGAAAATGTTAATATAATGTATTCCAAAGACGCACCTGGAATTGTGAAAGGACAGAATATAAAGATTTATTCAAATCTGTTTAACAAATGAAAAGTTTTCGACAAGAGTAGTTTTTCTTGCTATAAATATATTGATCAATCAAACATTTGAATTCTGTACACAGGATATTTGCGTTAAATAACTAATATGTAATTTAATTTTCTACAATTTACCTTTTGTTTCCCAAACACAGAACAGCAGAAAAATGTTTTGTAGCGCTAATCGTCGACAATAGTTACTTGAAATCCAGTCCTCCATGGATAAATCCCGACTCCGAACTATCACTCCACACAGGTGCAAATATGCCACAGCTTCGGTCCGTCTGTTGTTCAGTAAATGACGGCTCGGCTACAACAAAATCTATTTATGTTTTGTAGCGACACTTGTATGGAAGACTTGTGGTCAAACTCCGCCACAGCTTTATCGTCATATTTTTTTCAAACTTTAACATAGATGTTACTTTTAACACGTTTTAATTAAATATAAACAATATGATAATTATCACTGATGAATTGATGTTTTAATAAATAAAAAAACAACTTCTAGAAATTTCATTAATTATGGAGAATAAACGCAAAAAAACTAAAAGTCGTGTTTATAAAATGGTCAATATTCAACCAATACCTAAATTGAAAGTTTCAACAGCTACGATATGTAGCATAACCATGTGTTTCAACATATTTTGCCGAAGCTGTAAATCTCGTGACTTCAGAAATATAAAGCGTTTGATAATTAATGCTAAGGGTGGATTCGGATATTTCGGAGAGTCTAATTAAACTTGATTCATCACTGTTGTAATACCATGACCACGGTAAAACCTCTACATGGTCTCTAACAAGGCTTATTGTAAAGGATATACTCAACAAAAAAAGAAAGGTTAACATGTTTCCTTGGCGAATACCTGTAAATGAGTGAAAACAAAATGACGTTTGTGCAATATTAGAAAATGGTAATGTTTCACATTACAAAATCCAAGGGGGTTACCAAAATCATTCAAGCGTGAAAGTCTGTATTAGCAAGATTCAAGATTCAAGATTTTTTATTACTCTCTGACACACATACGCATGTAACAAGAGGTCATACAATATTTAAATCAGACATAACAGGAAGAGTAGATAGTACACATTAAAGTTCAACATAATCTCATATATTCAGTATCATTTCATGGGCAAATTTAGTAGTATTTTATGGACAGATTAAGTATTATTTCATGGACAAATTCAGCAATAAAATTTAAACAGATTCAGTATTATCAAGGACAGATTAAGCAATATTTCATAGAAAGATTCAATAGTATTTCATGGACAGATTCTGTGTTATCATGGACACAATCAGGATTATCATGGACACAGTCATTATTTACATGAGTAAATTTAACATTAACTATAATGAAATTAAAAAGTTACAAACACCAATTATATAACAGATTATAATTTACACATCATCGTCATCATGAACATCAATCGTCATCATCATCATCATCATCATCAGCGAAAGAGCTGCACGAGGTTTTCTGCGACTAACTTGTATCTTCGCTTGAATTTCATAAACATTCAAACTGACAACTGTTCCTTAGATCCTTAGGACTTAGAAATCACCGAATCTTGCCATCTATCAACTTTATCATTATGCCCCGGATTCACAAGTACAGAGAGAAAGGGCTGTAAGCATGATCCAGGCTGGGGAGTCGCACGGCATTTTGGTTGCAGTGTTAAGACAATTTGCCAGTTAATAAGTCGTTTAAACTAGACTGGGTCAACATCCGATCGTCCCCGAAGCGGCCGACCCCGTAAAACGACCGCCAGTGATGACCGTCGTATACGATTGATACACTTGCGCAATCGATTCGTAACCGCAGTAGAGACTACAAGGACATTGTTTGGGCGTCGTGTGTCTCCCCAAACAGTCCGCAACAGGTTGAGGGCCTACCAATTGAAAGCGCGGCGTCCCTGCACTGGACCCAATTTGTTGCGAAGTCACCGTAATAATCGGCGTAACCCGTGTTCACCGTCGTTGGGCCTTACGACAACGGAACAATGTTCTGTTTTCAGATGAGTCCAGGTTTTGTCTGCAACACGGTGACGGAAGGCGCAGAGTGTGGAGGCGACAAGGGGAGCGTTTTGCGCACTGCTGCGTCGCAGAACGGGACCGCTTTGGCGGCGGAAGTGTAATGGTTTGGGGTGGTATTTGTCGGGGGACTCGTACCAGGCTTGTTGTGTTAAATGGCAATTTAACCGGCATTCGATATTGGGACGAAATTTTAAGATCCAGTGGTTCTGCCATTCTTAAGACGCCATGGCGTTGGCGCCATTTTTCAACAGGATAACGCACGAGCACACACCAGTCGCGTCAGCAGAACTTTCTTGCAGCAGAATAACGTACAGGTGTTAGATTGACCATCTAAATCACCTGATTTGTCACCGATTGAGCATGTCTGGGACGTTCTTGGGCGACGCGTGAGAGAACGTCAAAATCAGCCGTCAAACTTGCAGGAGCTGGCCCAAGCCTTGATCGCTGAATGGAACAACATCTCTCCTCGAATTATCCGCCGGTTTACGAGTTCCATGCTACGACGCTGCAATGCTGTTTACTTCGCAAACGGTGGCCATACCAGTTACTAATGGTGTTACCTTTGAAATTGACCCCAACGTCCTTTACAGTCGAATAAAATCAACTGAACGCAATGTTTTATAATGAACCATGACTGCAGTTTTATCAGAATTGATCAATTACTTTATTCGTACATGATTGGTAAGGATTTATGAAGGGGTTAATTAATTAATCACAGAATAAAGTAGCGTTACCTTTCTTTTTTGTTTAGTATATATACCCGTCCTTTCATTTTGTATGTCAAGTAGAGCATCTGGATCCGCTGCAACGGGGCATTACCAAACAGAGACGAGGGGGGCTATCGCGCATCTATAACGAATCGACTAGAGTACATTGTTACAATTATGTGCACAATTTTTCTATAATCCTTTTACCATCTCGTCACACTATTTTCTACCTCAGTATACAAAGTACAACCGAAAACCCCGGTTTAATCCATATACTCCATTCTAGAATTGTGTATCTATTTCGACACTTTCAGGACGTTTATAGCATTTCATTAATTTTCGTATGTGTTTTCCAGTACGACTTTTCGTTTGTCGGTACACGATCTGATAACAAAATGTTGGACACATATGGCGTTCAAGCTGCTCCGTAGTGTCATCGCAATGACAAATTTAACAAAATGGAAGTCTGGTCAGCTTAGGTTAGGATTTTTTTTTTTTTTTTTTATGAATTGATTGTCAAAATACATGTGAAAATTTGTAATGTTTCACGGTGTGGTGAACACTGCTTTCTACCTTTAACCATTTCTTATCATCAAATTTCGTCCCGGAAAACCAAGAAAAATTAAATAAAAGACATTTGGTTCATAAATTAACAAGTAGCGATAGTGAATAATATCACGGACTATCATGAACAGTGTATATTATCAGTCCGTGATAATATTAATTGATAACGGCCAGCTGAGCAATCTTCAAATGAATTTCTATACTCGATGTGTTATGTACAAAGACCAGGAATTTGAGGATGAACCACAAGCATTCAGCCAAAGGATTTTTTTTCTAAATTCATATCCAATCAATTTTTTTTCTGTTTTTGTTTGTTTGTTTGCTTTTTACTTTCAGTATATTTTAAACTAACAAGGCGTTCTATCGGTATAGATTTCACATATTGGAATACTTATTGAATGTATCAATTAGTAAATTAGATCTTTTAATGGATGAAAACAACACGAAAATAGTCAATACTCTCTTAAGAGCGAATACTTTATCTACCATAAAAAGAACGCTGTGAAACGAACTTGTAGCCATTATCTGACGAATTCATATATTTTTCTTCGTGTTTATATATATATATACTATAGATTCCTTAAGACTTATCTGTAATCAATAACGCGCAGGTCGTCCGAGTTCATTTCCAATATTTTTTCCAATAAAGCCTCTATTAGATGGTCAGTACAAAGATGCTTTTTCAATATATTAACTAGTATGGTTGATGGGTGTCAGGTAGAACAATAAAGCCGCATATTAACAAGGCTACGCATCGGACATTACTGACAAACTCCACGGGAGATGCATGCAGACGTTATGGAAACTGATACACCGACACTTCATCAACAAGTGCGAATTCCGAGAAAAAAGAAACCTGAAAGCCGTTTTTAATGAAATAATCGCTGGATGGCCCTCCTCCCCATTCATCACGTGCCGATAGGTATTTAATTAAAATACCATCCCCACTTCCCTTTAAAACGGGCATTTCAGCAAATGCAAATGACGCAATGGGGACGTTTGTCAATGGGACACATTCTGGTCTCGCAGAGTTACTGCCCTTCGTTTCACTCCGTCGGAACAAAACTTGTGATGGGGCAGTTTATCTATCGCGTTTGTCCCTCTTGCATTCATGCATTCGATTTGATTTCGTTTTGTGATAAATACCTGTTAGGGATCGCTTTAAGCCAGCCCGATAATCCTTCGGTTTCAAACACTTCCGCTTGGTCTATTTTGTTGATTATTGCATGATTTCTGTATTATGTAACAAAAGTACTGATTCTGTGTTTGAAGTTGATTTTTTTTAATGTCGACCATTGTGCGCCAATAGGGCTTCGACGATGGTCCATTGTACCCAGAGGTAACTTTAGTTGCACATAATCTCCTTTTACTGG